ATACATACATACATATATATACATACATACATACATACATATATATACATACATACATATATATACATACATACATATATATACATACATACATACATACATATATATACATACATACATATATATACATACATATATATATATACATACATACATATATATACATACATACATATATATACATACATACATATATATACATACATACATATATATACATACATACATATATACATATATATACATATATACATATATATACATACATACGTATACATACATATACATACATACATACATATACACATACATACAAACATACATACATATACATACATACATACATACATATATATACATACATACATATATATATATACATACACACACACATATATACATATACACACACACACTAAAATAAACTACTACTACTTACTACTTGTACCACTATCCCTACTTTGCAATTTTTCCAATTATCGCATGGCTTTAGGGTACGGCTCCCCCGTAATAAACGAGGGACTACTGTATATAAATACTAACATAAACTACTACAGTACTTACTACTACTACAGAAATACTAAAATAAACTACAATTTACTACTTCTAGGACTACTACTTGTGTACATAATTTTGTTCACTCTCATGTACCACGAGATGACAATGACAAAGTTTACTTGAACTTGTACTACTATCCCTACTTTGTGATTTTTCTACTTATCGTGGTGGGGTCGGGCAAACACCCACGAGAAAGGAGGGACTACTGTACTTTTATTGTGTGTGCTTAAAAAAAAAAAAGATTAGTAGAGTGGACAAGAAAAGGGCAAAAAAAATTGTCGGGTCTCAAAAGTAAAATTATGTATTTAAGAAAAACAAATCCAGCGAGGAGTCGACCACTCCAGCTGGTTGTTGTATTCCTCAAAGTGTTTCAGAATGGAACATTATCCTGCTAACAGAGACCGATATATTGACAGGGCCAATAATTTAGGCTGATATAGAAACTTGTGGACCTATCGTACTGGCGATAATGGTCCCATTATCAGCCGATATAAACGCTTCTAATTTTCACCTCTAAAATGCTGGAACCAGTTGTAATTGTACAATCAACATAGTCCATGCTCAATAATCCAGGTATACAATTCAACATTTTTCAGTCAGGTCATCTGGACAGTTTTTTTTTTTTTTTTTTGCTGCAATGTTTCACCTTCCATCCAGAAGGCTTCATCAGTCAAGGAGACACACAACACAAAACTGATTCTTCCCCCAAACAGCTTACTCTAAAGGAAGCTGAAACATTTCAGCACAAAAAAGAAACTGTCCAGATGACCTGACTGAAAAAAGTTGTAATTGTACAATGTATCCAGCAGGGGGCGGATGAAGACTACTTTCAAGTCACTTTAACTTTCACTTTGACGTTCAGCACTCACGAAGCAGGAGCAATACTGTGTGGTGTATTGTGCTTAACAGAGTAAGTTTACTTTAACTGATCTGTAAAATAAAATGAAAAATCCATAATAATAAATTGTATTCAATCCTCCAACCCGCTTTTATTTATGAATTTGTAAAAAAAGGCAAAAGTCTCCCAAGGTACATTTAGCGTGTATATGAGCCGTTTTCACCCTCATTTCCCAAAACACTTCTTTTACAGAGAAAAGACATCAAAGACTGGTCTGTGGCGAGAGCACTCACTACTTCTCATGCAATATGAAGAGCAGATGTCTCACTCTGATTGGAATCCAAACTCAAAATATTTTAACAGATTTTAGCATAAATTTACATCAACTAATTATTCACTATGAACTTATTTATCACCTCATTTATGTAACTTACTCACGTGATGAACTTATTACTGTCTTTGAGCAAAAGGCAGCACTGTGGGACTAATTAAAGTGGCTCTGAGTAGCTTAGCTATATGGTTGCTAACAACTGCGCTAAATAAACCTCGCTCCACTCGCTGTTTACTGAGATTCTTGAGGGTGGACAAAGCTCAAAAAATTTCAGCCATTATATCGGTTATCAGTGGTCGCCCCCTCCCAATATCTGTATAAGCGATGGACAAATTTTCCATATCGGTATCGGTCGGGCTCTTAACAGAGACCCCGGGTCCTAAGCTCTGCTGACCAGAACATCCCAGCTCGGCACTAAAAACCATCACAAACCTCATCAAAATAGATGTAAATATTTAATACATTTTCTGCTTTTAACTCAATTTCTTTAACTTTAACCCTTCAACCAAACTTTATTTAAAAAACAATTTCCAACAAAACTAACAAAACGAGGACATCAGATAAGGCACGACACTGAAATCAAAACTATTTCAAGACATACTGTAAATCAAAAAGAAGCTACAGCATAATTATTGACCGTGCTCCAGAGACATGGAGGAGATCGTACCTGCACCACCACGTCCCTCATGTGATCAAACTCCTCAGGATGAAGGAAAGCAGTAAACTCCTCCCGCGTGGCGATCCCATCGCTGTCTCGGTCCGCTGCCTTGAAGCGTCTTTCATCTCGGGTGAGCATGGACTTATACGTGTTCTTGTCTTCCACGTCATCAAACTCCTCCCCTGAAAAACATAAAAACAATAAAATAATTATTTTTTAGTTTTTCTGTGTCTGTGTGCATGTTTGCCTGTCATGTTAGCTAAATATCTCATGAACTACCAGAAAAATGTTGTTCAAACTTTAGGGGATCACTGGATGTGTCTACAACAAATTACCTTTTTATGTAAATTCAATTAAAGATGGCCACCAAAGCTAATCTACCTTAGCCAACACAAAAACTCAACTATAACTTAGCCAATTTACAGGTACTAATCTCAAATTTGATGTGGAAGTAGCTGAGAGTGTATTAAAACTATGTTTGGCGCCCAACTTGGGGCCAAATGTAGTGCTACTACCAGATTAATTTGCCAGCCATATCCTAAGCTTACAGTGCCTTTAAAAAGTTTTGACCCCGCAGAATGTTGTTTTATTGGCAGCTACAAAGTCCTACTGGCAGCTCCATAGTGCAAAACGTGGCTTTAGGGACTCCAGCGACCATAGTTAAATGCATTCCGGGGGCCAGAGCGGGCAACATTGAATCTTATCTGAAACTGCTGACTAAGGCTAAGGCTAAAAACAGTATGACTGTTATTCACGTCCGCGGAAATGACACGCAGTTACACCAATTGGAGGTCACCAAAATCAACGTTGCTTCAGTGCGACTTTGATAAAACCATGTCGGACGCCGTAGTTTTCTCCGGCCCCCTCCCCAACCTGACCAGCGATGACATGTTTAGTTGTATGTCGTCGTTTAACCGCTGGGTTCCAGGTGGTGTTCTGACAACGACGTGGGCTACATAGATAACTGGAGTTCTTTCTGGGGAAAACCTGGTCTGATGCGGAGAGATGGCATCCATCCCACTTTGGATGGAGCCGCTCTTCTTTCTAGAAATATGGCTGATTTTGTTTATCCCCCAAATTATTGACAACCCAGGGTCCAGTCCAGGAAGCAGAGTTGTAGTCCTCCCACCCACACCCCCACTGAAACTGTGTCAACTCGCCCACGGCTCAAATTAAATAAAACAAAAATCAGCTCTAAAATTATAAACCATAAAAATCTTATTAAAATAAACAGTTACTTTACCTGAGCAAAATCATAAAATTATTAAATGTGGATTATTGAACATCAGATCTCTTTCCTCTAAATCCCTGTTAGTTAATGAACTGATAACTGATCATCATATTGATTTATTCTGTCTGACAGAAACTTGGCTACAACAGGAGAATTTTGTTAGTATAAATGAATCCACTCCTGTTAATTATTTAAATTTTCATGTTCCTAGAACAACTGGCCGAGGTGGAGGAGTAGCTTCTATTTTTCAGTCAGGATTATTGATTAATGCCAAACCAGTTATTAGTTATGATGCTTTTGAATCGCTGTCCATCAGTCTTTCTCATCCAAAATGGAAATCAGAAAAGCCACTTTTACTTAATGGTAAATGGATTGTACTTATCTAGTGCCTTTCTATCTAATCAAGACACTCAAAGCTCTTTACAACACAATCTGTGCCCTCATTTACCCATTCATACAGCACTCTACTAGATCTCTATAAAGCTAATTGAACAAGTCATTCTAAAGAGACTAATCAGAGCTTTATCACATTCATACACTGATGAGACACACATCAAAGGCGATGAGGGGTTAAGTGTCTTGCCCATGGAAACTTCGGCATGTGACTGCTGGTGGGTTCGAACCCCCAACTCTTGCATTGGAGGACGACTGTCCTACCCACTCAGCCACAGCCGCCCCTTTGTTGTTATATATAGTCCACCAGGCGCTTACTCTCAGTTTTTGTCCAAATTCTCAGAGTTCTTAACTGACTTACTACTAAATACTAATAAAGTCATAATAATGGGTGATTTCAATATTCATGTACAAACCGGATTCCAAAAAAGTTGGGACACTAAACAAATTGTGAATAAAAACTGAATGCAATGATGTGGAGGTGCCAACATCTAATATCTTATTCAGAATAGAACACAAATCACAGATCAAAAGTTTAAACGGAGAGAATGTATCATTTTAAGGGAAAAATCTGTTGTTTCCAAATTTCATGGCGTCAACAAATCCCAAAAAATTGGGACAAGTCCATTTTTATCACTGTGTGGCATCCCCCTTCTTCTTACAACACTCAACAGACGTCTGGGGACAGAGGAGACCAGTTTCTCAAGTTTAGAAATAGGAATGCTCTCCCATTCATGTCTAATACAGGCCTCTAACTGTTCAATCGTCTTGGGCCTTCTTTGTCGCACCTTCCTCTTTATGATGCGCCAAATGTTCTCTATAGGTGAAAGATCTGGACTACAGGCTGGTCATTTCAGTACCCGGATCCTTCTCCTATGTAGCCATGATGTTGTGATTGCTGCAGAATGTGGTCTGGCATTATCGGGTTGAAAAATGCAGGGTCTTCCCTGAAAGAGATGTCTAGATGGGAGCATATGTTGTTCTAGAACCTGAACATAGTTATCTGCATTAATGGTGACTTTCCAGACATGCAAGCTGCCCATGCCACAAGCGCTCATGCAACCCCATACCATCAGTGATGTAGGCTTCTGAATGGAGCATTGATAACAACTTGGGCTATCCTTGTCCTCTCTGGTCCAGATGACATGGCGTCCCAGTGTTCCATAAAGAACTTTAAATCGTGAATCATCTGACCACAGAACAGTCTTCCATTTTGCCACACTCCAATTTAAATGACCCCTGGCTCAGTGCAAACATCTGAGATTGTGGAGCTTGCTTAGCAATGGCTTCCTCTTTGCACTGTAGAGTTTCAGCTGGCAACGGCGGATAGCTCGGTGGATTGTGTTCACTGACAATGCTTTCTGGAAGTATTCCTGAGCCCATTCTGTTATTTCCTTGACAGTGGCATTCCTGTTTGAGGTGCAGTGATGTTTAAGGGCCCGGAGATCACGAGCATCCAGTAGAGTTTTACGTCCTTGACCCTTACGCACAGTGATTGTTCCAGATTCTCTGAATCTTTTGATGATGTTATGCACGGTTGATGATGATAACTTAAAAGTCTTTGCTATTTTACGCTGGGTAACACCATTCTGGTATTGTTGCACTATCTTTCTGCGCAACAATGGTGGAATTGGTGATCCTCTTATCATCTTGGCTTCTGAGAGACACTCACACTCTGAGAAGCTCTTTTTAAACCCAATCATGTTGTCAATTGACCTAATTAGTGTTAATTGGTCTTCCAGCTGTTCATTATATGCTCAATTTCCGTTTTCCAGCCACTTATTGCTACTTGTCCCAACTTTTTTGGGATTTGTTGACACTGTGAAATTTTGAATCAACATATTTTTCCTTTAAAATGTTACATTTACTCAGATTAAACTTTTGATCTGTCATCTATGCCCAACAAGAGAAGGAAACACGCTGGATCACTGTTACACCACAGTGAGCGGTGCTTATCGTGCTGTGCCTCGTGCTGCCCTGGGTCTCTCAGATCATGAGATGATTCACCTCATACCTGCATACAGACAGAGACTGAAGCTCCCAAAACCTGTGGTGAGGACATCCAAAAAGTGGACCAGTGAAGCTGTGGAGGGGCTACGCACGTGTTTGGACACCACAGACTGGGACCTGTTCAGGGCTTCCACAGACAGTCTAGTCGAATACACAAACACTGTGACGTCATATATACATTTCTGTGAGGACAGCATCATCTCATCACGCTCCAGAGTCATTTTCAATAATGATAAACCCTGGTTCACATCCAAACTAAGACAGCTTCGTCAGCAGAAGGAGGCTGCTTTCAGAGAGGGGGACAGAGACAACTACAGACGTGCGAAGTATGGATTTAGCAGGGAGGTGTCGAAGGCTAAATCCAGATACAACACACGGCTGGAACAACAGTTCTCTGCAAACGACTCTGCCTCTGTCTGGAGGGGGCTGAAAGAGATAACTAACTACAAGCCCAGAGCACCTCATTCTACAGACAATCTCAAACTGGCAAACGATCTGAACGACTTCTATTCACGCTTTGAAGTCATGGACTCACATTCCTCCATCCTCCACACCAACCCCAGCCCAACTGGTTTAACGACTTTGGACTGCCCCCGACAACCCCCTGCTATCTCTGTACAAGAGGATGAAGTAAGGAGGCTTTTTAAAAGGCTGAATACACATAAGGATGCAGGCCCAGACCTTGTGTCACCCTCCACGCTGAGACATTGTGCTGCAGAGTTGGCTTCGGTCGTCACAGGGATCTTCAACTCTTCTCTGGAGTCATGCCACGTCCCAGCCTGTTTCAAGTCCTCCATCATCGCCCCTGGCCCCAAGAAGCCATGTGTCACAAGACCAAATGACTACAGACCTGTAGCTCTCATGTCTGTAGTCATGAAAACCTTTGAACGCTTGTATCCCGATGCATGCTCAATAATCCAGGTAGAAAAATCCAAAAAAGTTAAATCTGGTCCTCTGGACATTCAAAAAAACAAAAAACAAAACAAAGCAAAAAATATAGAAACGTTTCGTCTCTCATCCAAGAGACTTCCTCAGTCTGAGGTGCTGTTTTCAGCTCAGTCTCTTAAATAGCACCTTCTCAGAGTGGA